CTATGTTCAAATTCAAACATATAAAAGTAATTTGAGAACCAAAAATGGTTTTACATAAATATTAAGTAAGTACAGTTTTACATAAACTTAATATAAATGACTTAAATATATACATATGTTCATAAATTATGAATTAGAGTAAATTTTCATGCATTTCTCACATTTAAACATTCTCCCTAGTTTTTTGCTTGAATATCTCTACCCATTCTACTATAAGTGCTTATGATGAATAGGTGATCAATTTTATGAGTTTAGCCTCATTATACAAAATTTTAGCATCTTCCTGGTTGGCAAAGTATGCTAAGGCTGTGTTATTAAGCCTATTGCATGCATGGTACTTGTGTTTGTATGTTTTTCCAAATTCCTGCTGGTGTAACTTAAGTCATTCTCAGTCCTGTCATTTCTGATTTATCAGGTATCCTAATACTCCAGTTCTGTGTTTCTCTGGTATTTTATTGTTTTTTATCTGGTCTTTATTTTTTCTTAGGAGACTGTATAATGTGAGGTATCATTTATAGACAATTCTTGATTTCTTTGTTATAACAAATTCATTAAATGCTGTGTACATTGTCATTGAGAAGGTTAACTTTATAAAGTTCTTATTAAATGTATTCTTTGTTCCAGACTGATTTGAATGGATAATATTGATAAGCATCATTCTACTATATCTGAGATGCTATAGTATGTTCATGAAACTAGAGTATATAAGATATTTGCAAAATTAGAAACAACAGGATTGAGATATGTTAGACCAGTTATTTCTCAAACTATGGATTATGATCCAATATTGGGTCATGTTAAAATTTTAATGGATTGCAAAATGATACTATCTTCTGCAGAAATACTATTAATACTTGTGTTTATGAAAAATTCTCTAAGGACTAGGAACAGCAGATGCATCTGTTAAGTACTGAAAATTTTTAACAACTTTTTTCTTATAATAATTGACATTTAGTAATAAAATTAAGATTATAGAATATGTGTATATGAAATTGATTCCTCTTTTCTATTTTGAATAACATCAAAATAGATATTTTATATAAGGTTGTAGTCATAAAGCCTTTTAAGTTGCACTGGCTTTGAAAATATTTTTTTGTTTATTTAAACTTTTAGGTTTATTGTCATACATAACAATAAATTATAAAAAAATAAATAACTGGTGACTTTTGGCACAAGTGGATCAATAAATAATTTTTAAGAAATTTTTGTTTTTCGTATATATACAAGATACAAAAAGAAATTGACAAAATCTTCTAACAAATTGAAAGGTATATGTTTAAAGAGAGTTCATTAAATTTATAAAAAAACTTGTGATTTTTTTTAAAAGAAAATGGACTCCTGAATTATTTTGAAACAGTTTGTTTTATTTACAATCATCAGTCTTACATTTTTTAATAGTTAAATATCAATAATAAAAACTGAAATTGAAGTAAGTTATTTTTTACAAATCAAAATTGGCCTGAACCACTCTTAATAGAAATGTACTCAATGTTACATTTCACACTTAGAAGTTATCAATAAAGCATAATTTTATTTCATTACATAATGTACAGTGACTCTGATTTACCATAGGTTTTTAAAAAAATTTTATATTATAAACATTCAGGTTGCAGAACCATTACAAACAAATGTATTGAGTCACGCGATCAAAAAGTTTGAGAATTTGTTATAACCAGGAAGGTTGGGTTAGACTAACAGGAATTTGGAAAAAAATACAAACACACGTATAATGCATGCAATAGGCTTAACAACACAGCCTTAGCATGCTTTGCCAACCAGGAAGATGCTAAAATTTTGTATAATGAGGCTAAACTCATAAAATTGATCACCTATCCATTGTAAACACTTATAGTAGAATGGGTAGAGATATTCAAGCAAAAAACTAGGGAGTATGTTTAAATGTGAGAAATGCAGGCACACTTTTTTCTGCATGAAAATTTACTGTAATTCATAATTTATGAACACACAGGGTATATATATATATATTTAAGTCATTTATATTAAGTTTATGTAAAACTGTACTTATTTAATATTTATGTAAAACTATTTTTGGTTCTCAAATTACTTTTATATGTTTGAATTTGAATGTAGGTTAAATTTGTTCTTTTGATTTTTTTTAATTACTCATGATGATCTAGGAATTAGACTAAAAACATTCCAGAAAATATTAACATTTCTGTTATATTGATATGTTTATTTATTTATATAGTGTTTTTGAGCAACAGTTTTTATATTGCAATTTAATAATTTTTAACTTATGAATATTAATTTGTATTTTTATTTTTACTAGCTAGAACTTGTTAAATATTTGGTTTGATCAGAATATGACTTGCCAGTTAGTTCAATTTTATGGTCATTAGAATTTTGAATCACATTCATATTGAATAAAATCTCTAAATATTTTCATAAATGCTATTCATCTCTTCTTTCTTAACTTGACAAAATTCACTTGTGAAAGGAATAAAGACTTTTGAAATTATTTTCAAAATTTGAGAAATAAATTTATTTAAAATTTAGATTTTTTTTAAATTTTAAATCAGTTTATAATCTTTATGTATTACTTTTTGAATATCTTACTGAATACATTATTAATAGAAAACTTATTTCCATCTATTTTTGTGAAAATCTAATATTTTAAAATTATTTTTCTCTGGACAGAACAACTTCACAAACACTTTGACTTTGTTCCCACATTGTCATGTCTGCACAATGATAGCCTTTTGATTAATTCCTTTTTATAAGTATGATTTTTAATCATTTTTATTGCTAGATCTGAATTTCTTCTGTTATCTCCTTTAATAGTTAAGTTTTTCTTTTCTTCTGTGGAAAAAAAAATTTAATTGATATATGATTTAAATTTATTATCTTTTGAAATATGTTTCTCTGTTCAATTGGAGATTTTTATTTATTTTCTAATTTTATAAATTTATTTATAAATATTTAAATATTATTTTAATGTCATTGAATTGTTTGTTTATGATCTGATTTATGGTTTTATATACTGTTTTGATGACGGAAATTGTTTCTGAAATTATTTACAAAGAATGAAAAATTGGAGTTTTAGAGCAAGCCATTTTTTAATGTATTATTTATATCTCAAAATTTTACTATTGTATATTTATTTGTATATTAAAACAGTTTTGAGTAACTACATTGACAGTTGATTTTATATATACAGTAGGACCTTTGCTGTACATGACCAATATGTTCCAAGACCAAGAGCATAAGCAGAAATTTGCATAAAATAGCAAATCCAATTAATTTTTAAATGTTTCCTACACTAACATACCGAGAACACATTTTTTTGTGTAAATGAGATAAATAAACACTATATTAACAGTAAATAATATAGTAATGTAAATCATAAAAAGAACTAAAAAGTTTTTATATTCTCTCTCCCATTTTTGCATGTAATTTGCATAAATGAAGTAAAGAGAATCACTGATGTCACTAGGACATGACATGTTACAAGCAAAAACTCTGGACAACAGTGTGGCCATTAGACCTTCTCCATAAAATCCAGGTCAAGGGTAATGATTATACCTGTATAGTATATTTATAGTAAAAAATTTTAATGTTTCAGAGTTTTTTATTTAGTTCATAATATATCTGCAAAACCTGCCAATTTCTCAATATCCACTGTTTTCTCCACAAGAGTTAAAGCAGTGTTTCTCAACCTGTAATGAATCGTCGCCTCCTTCAACATAGTATCGCCCCCTTCACTTCAAAATTTCGATGCCGAGGGCCAAGGCTAATGCCAAATTCGTACTACATTGAATAGACTATTAACTAGTATAATGTTATTTGCTTAATTATTGTACAATATAACAAATAAAATATCTAATTATTCTCAATATAATGTTTTACTATATCGCCCAGAAAATTGTTTTTCGCCACCCAAAATATAAATTGTTACAAATCACCCCCTCAACATGGAAAACCGCCCACATGGGGGCGATATTGCCCCCGTTGAGAAACACTGAGTTAAATTATCTTTAACTGGGGGAATTTCTCTTTATGTGGCATTATATGTGACATTGGATATGGCATTGGACAAAGATTGATGCAGATCCCAGTGTTTAGTACAAAACAAAGAAGTGATTGATAGCAATGCTTTCCCAGAATGATCAATAAGAAAAATACACCTTTACAAATCCAGCAAATAACTTTACTAATAAAACTGTTCAAAAACGTTTTTATTAGTAAAGTTATTTGCTGGATTTGTAAAGGTGTATTTTTCTTATTGACTATTTTTATCCAGTTGAAAGAAAATATATTTTCCAGAATGAGTTGAGATGCTGCAAAAGTTAACACATCCTGAAAATTGGCATCCAGTTAAGAACTTGTATTTAAAGTACAATATTTTTTTTTTCTTCTTCTTTCAGATTGTCAATAGCATAAACCTGAAACTGCATATGATGAGTCCAAAATATTACTATACATCCATATTTAGTACAGACAATCAGTACTTTAAAGGTTCTGTTGCTGTCCAAACTGTATTTGAAAAAATAAACAAAATGTCCATACTAATTGATCACATAGTTAATACAGTAGAGCATCGATTATCCAACCTCCAATTAACCGTCACATCGGTTAACCAACCGTTCTAGTCGGCAACTTTCAAATGTCCGCTAGTGATGTGGCACTACAATATTTGGCTATGTCTTGGCTACTTTAATATTATTTTTGTTAAATTTTTGCGTGTTTTAGCTGGCAACTACAGCTTGATCATGAAAGGGAGACCAGTATTTAAACGAGGCTTAATTTTCTAATTATGAGTGGTTGTTTGTTTTGTGAGATATAAAATAATTTTAAAATAATTTTTAACGATACAATAGCAGCGATTATTATTTTTAAAAAAATTTGTTAGGCTTAACATCGATGAAAATTCAACGCGAAGTTGGTTAATAGCGATATACTAATTACATGGGATATACTAATATACTATACTAATAATGCATTTTTTTCATTCTTTTCGTTTATCCAATTTTTTCAGTTATCCGACCAACCTGAGTCTCCAATTGAGTCGGATAATCGATGCTCTACTGTAGTTAAATTGTGGTTTGATGTTTTCAACATGCTGAAAACAAGTGAAAGTGAATGTCCGAACTTTGAGAAGCTGATGGAGTTCCTTTTTAGCTTGCTAGGATCAACAGCTCCAGTTTTTTCTTTGATGAACTAGGTTTGGCCTTGTGATCAGAACAAACTTCTAAATGAAGATGTTGAAAATGTTCTACAAATCAAAGTGAACTTGAATATGGACTGCCTCCAGTTTTATGAATCGATTAAAGACAACATAGCATTTTTAAAGATAGTTTATTCCTCTGAAAAATATGAAGAATTATTAGAAATGGTAATTATTATTATTTCTAATGGATACAGTTATAAAATCACCTATAAAGTGTTACATGCTAAATCATTTAGGTTATTAAAAAATAACTAGAGACACAAAATACCATATGTCCTTTTCCAGCAAATTACTCTTTAATTAAACTAACGTTTTTGGCTTTATTAATAAGCCTTCATCAGGGTTTTTGAAACAAGATTCAATTTGGAATGATATTTAAAATCCCATTAAGTTTAGAACGATTTTACATTTATGTTATTTTAGAATGATAATAACGATATTTACATTTTAAAATTAACAGAATTTTAAATATTGTTTCAAATTGAATCTTGTTTCAAAAAACCTGATGAAGGCTTATTAATAAAGCCAAAAATGTTAGTTTGATTAAAGAGTAATTTGCTGGAAAAGTACATAAGGTATTTTGTGTGTCTCTAGTTACTGTCTAGTTTCAGCTTATGCCAATGTTGATATTAAAAAAATACTAAGACTAGAAAGAAGTGTAAAGTTTAATTTAAAAATTAAAATTGCATTCTGTGCTCCCAAAGGAAAGTGTAAATTGTAACTTTGTTATATTTAGGGTTTCTCTAACAGGATCCTGGCTGTTTTTTAACCTAGGAAATTCTTCTCATCCCAGAAAATCCCATAAATTTCTTAAAAGTTTGCTTTTTACTTATTTTGTGTTAAGATTGAGAACATTTTGCAAATAGAAAATGTAATTAACTCATAAATTGTCAGAATACTTTTGTATTTATTAATTTTAAGCCTATTAGTTTTTAAAATTTTTGCATGTCACAGATGGTCAATAATCAATATGTAGCCTATTTAGGGCTAGTCCACATTAGGTGTTGGGCATTGCATTAAATGTGTGTTAGCAGCGTACACACCGCGCGTTTAGCTCGGCGTTCGACGTTAATTGTTTGTGTGTTCCTCCTCCATCATTGCTATAAAAGACGATGGCAGAGGCAAAGAGAATTTTGGGTGCACCCAATATTACAAGATAGACTGNAGTCCGTAAAGTTCCCACCTATCGGGCTGCGATTGGATCATGTATTTAATCGTTCCTATAACGTAAAATTCGATTAGCGTGGAACGTATCTAAGCGTTATAGGGGGGTCTACTGTAATCCAATGATTGCCTAAATATTCAGGCTATAATATGGCTATATTAAGGCTTATTAATAAAGCTGAAAACATTAATTTGATTAAAGGGTAATTTGCTGGAAAAGAACATAAGGTATTTTATGTGTCTCTAGTTACTGTCTAGTTTCAGCTTATGCCAATGTTGATATTAAAAAAATACTAAGACTAGAAAGAAGTGTAAAGTTTAATTTAAAAATTAAAATTGCATTCTGTGCTCCCAAAGGAAAGTGTAAATTGTAACTTTGTTATATTTAGGGTTTCTCTAACAGGATCCTGGCTGTTTTTTAACCTAGGAAATTCTTCTCATCCCAGAAAATCCCATAAATTTCTTAAAAGTTTGCTTTTTACTTATTTTGTGTTAAGATTGAGAACATTTTGCAAATAGAAAATGTAATTAACTCATAAATTGTCAGAATACTTTTGTATTTATTAATTTTAAGCCTATTAGTTTTTAAAATTTTTGCATGTCACAGATGGTCAATAATCAATATGTAGCCTATTTAGGGCTAGTCCACATTAGGTGTTGGGCATTGCATTAAATGTGTGTTAGCAGCGTACACACCGCGCGTTTAGCTCGGCGTTCGACGTTAATTGTTTGTGTGTTCCTCCTCCATCATTGCTATAAAAGACGATGGCAGAGGCAAAGAGAATTTTGGGTGCACCCAATATTACAAGATAGACTGACTCATGGATTGTTTGTGACGTTGTATCCAAAACTAAGACAATATGAACCCAAGTTTTTTAATTCTTTTAGAATATCTATAAAATCATTTGACAATGGCTGGTCTCTTTTAGATTTCATCAATAAATAGATCAGTATCGAAATGAACGTTCTCCATTTCGGTCAACGTGCGTCCACTCTACCCAAAAGCATGCGATCGAATGTACAACAACATGGCAGCACATGTATTTCAAAGTGCATGGCTGATGCCTGCGAAAAGCGCATTCTAACCAAAATCTATCAACATGCGTTTGAGTGTGTGTATCTATGCGGAACTCTTGGTTCTTTAAAACCTGTGTTACCAAAGCACGTGCTTCAAAACGCCTAATGTGTACACAGCCTTATGGCAGGACTTTGAAAATTTTTTACTTGTCAGAACCTGTAATATCATGAATAATTGTGCCGATGCTGTCTTAATTTTTAATCATGTCCAGTAGCTTCTATAACTGCATTATGCCAGGTTGTGCAAATTGGGCAAGGATATAAATGAGTATGAAGTATACAAGTATGAAGTTTTTCTTCATAAACCTGATAATTAAATCCAAATGAACTGCCAAATTATTGGGCCATAAGCTTGATGTTGCCATTAAAGCAGCTCAGGTAGACAAATCAAGTATACTAGACAGCAAAAGAAGTAATGCAACACATCTTGAAAACGAACTAGAAATATTCCATGCTACAGGTGAAAAAAAAACACATCTGTCTTCTCTTAAATACATTAAAGACGATTTTAACTGATAAAGACGATAAAGACCACATCAATTGAATCAGAAAGGGCATTTTCAGTAACAGGACTTTTCATTACTAAATAGAACTAGATTGAGTGATCAGAATATTGACCATCTTTGTAAAATCTTATTCACATCATCACATCTGTCTTCTCTTAAATACATTAAAGACGATTTTAACTGATAAAGACCACATCAATTGAATCAGAAAGGGCATTTTCAGTAACAGGACTTTTCATTACTAAATAGAACTAGATTGAGTGATCAGAGTATTGACCATCTTTGTAAAATCTTATTATAAAAATTTAAAATAATATTTTGTATTATGTTTTATTAAAAAAACAAAAATTACCTTCTAAGTTAGAAGTTTGATCTAAGTTTTTTTTTTTTTGTTTTAATTTTTAACTCAATTCAAAAAAAATTTTTTTTTTTTTGTAAACAGTTTCCAACAAACTTTAATAACTTTTTTTTATTTGTGAAAATTTCTACGTAATTCGAAAGTAATTTTTAATATGTATCTTACACGGCGTTAATATGATTTCGGAGATGGCGGAACGCATTAAATTACTTTAAAAATGAAAAATAATTATATCATTTTATTGTGTATCTTAAAAATAATTAATTCTGTCCCTGGAATCCCGGGACAAGCGAAAGACGGGAAATGAGAAACCCTAATTTATACTAATTCTTGTAAATATTCTATACCCTTCGAGGCTACGACTAATGTCGCCGTTTTTTCGGTACAAAATAGAAATTTTTTCTTTGTGTCGGATGCGACGATATTACCGAAATGCATTTTATATTCATTAGTTGGAAAGCGCGACACCATTGACGGAATCTTTTTCTATACGTAAATAGGATTGGAGCCAGTGGAAGAAGTCCAAGTGCGAAAATTGTCGATGCCGGGACGGTACCGTCGTTTGCGAAAACGTCCGTTGTCCAGTCGCTAAATGCTTACCGGGCCAGATACTTTCTCGCAGACCGGACGATTGCTGTCGAAAATGTCTACCGCTCCAAAGTAAGTATAATCCATCGACTTCTCAATTGCTGTAGTCATTACTCGAAATACTCATTTATTTTTAACGCTTTACGTACATTATTACACCGCTCCTGTCAATAATTATAAAATCAAAATAACAGTTTTTTGCGGTTAATGCGCTGTTGAAGTTTACCTTGGAAGATCCGCTTCCGTCTGCCTCGGATATAAGTTACGACTTCCGGTGAATATCGAAACGACGTAGCCTATGTATTAATTATGTNGTAGCGTGGCGCTACGGACGGCGGGAAAGTAGTTCGGCTTCCCGATGACGTTTGAGGTGTTTATAGGGAACTTTTACTATTTTTTACGGATACCGGTAGCAATTTTTTCGTAGTTTTATAGGAATCGTAACTATAGGGACCGTAATTATAGGGGGGTCGACTGTATATTCCAGGATTTCCTGGGAAATGGATAATTTTTTTCTCTAAATCCCAGGACAAGCAAAGAACTGGGAAATGAGAAACCCTACTTATATTTCCTACATTTACAGAATGAAAAATGAAAAAATATCCTTTTATTTTGCCTTGCTACATGAGTACTTTTAATGCTAATCTGTCCATATTTTGCCTTCAACTATTATTGTAACCATAATGTATTGCAGGGTCCTACTATATATATGAGTACTTTGTAGATAACATGCAGCAAGAAATAGAATTTGTTTTATAATCTCAGTATTGTTATTTTAAAACTTGGCACTGTTTTAGAAATTAGAACTTGATCAAAAAATGTTTCACCTGAAAATAGGTTTACTTTGTAAATTTAAACAATTTTGCTATATTAATATTAGACTATACATCTAATTTCACATTAGATGTATAGTAAATGACATAGATAAGTATGAATATCATGAATAGATGAATATAGTTAATGACATTTCTATATTTTAAATATAATTTGAATTATATAAATATTTATACAGTCCCACAAACTTGACTTAATATGGACTGAGAAGGTAACAAGTTGCCAAAAATGATGAGTTTTATGGTATAGCAATGATGCTAGTCTAAAAACAGAATTTTTGTAAAGGTATTATATGTGCAAATTCATATATGTATTAACTCTGTACCAATAATGACTATTTCTATTTGAGAAGAAAATTTTAATTTAAAAAAAACTGGCTATTTAATGGCTACTTTTCAGTTAGTGACATTTGCCTCTGCATTTTTCAGTGGTATCTTGGAAAAAGGGTTATGTTCTTTGTTAACATGTATATTTGATGTTGTTATTGAGTGTCAGCAGTGAAGAATGATAACTTATAAGATCCTAGTGTTAAGTTATAGAGGTAAAAAAATTACATGTATTTTTTTGAACAACACAATGAGTTTTACAGAATGTCGAGTTATTGGGAGTTGAGTTTCTGGGACTCTATTATACAGAGT